TTCTCGCTCAATTCCAGTAATTCAGAGAGAAGAGTTTTGGAAAGAGCCTCATCATTGCTCTTTTCGGCAGCTGTCAAGCGTTGCATTCTATCTAGCAAATCCATGACAGTATTGAAGGAATCTTTGTGAACTCCAACCACAATTTTGGTAATCTATTGAGGAGGAATTTGGAACCACAGTAAAATTAGTGATAGCAGTATACAGTTGTAATGACGAAACCCCAAATATTAGTACAAGTCCGTGAAGCAACTTTAAACACTACTCACCGTTACTTTGGAATGATCTTTGCTATCGATCAAACAGACTCTAGCTGTTGTGATTGCGAAAAGAGAACATTTCACGGAAAAGGACTTGGAGGTTGTTTTCTTAATATTTGAAACATCTTTCATGGAAATACGATAGACTGGCAAGGATGAATCATCAGGGCAAAACATGATGGACTTGGTTGCCAAGATCAAGTGGCCTCTCGGATGCTCCGATTCACTACTGCTGACCTGTACATAGGTGTTTGTACTAGGTTGAATATCAAGAACTTCTTCTCCTTTGTCTAGATAGAGAGAGGAAAATCTAATGCTTGGTGCTTTAGCCTTATAGAAATCTGGCATCATGATAGAAATTTTCGGAATTTTGAAACACAATGGCAATACAAGAATGATGATTCACGGATCAAAAGAACGAGGTAGAGTTGAACAATTCTACTTTCAACCACCAGAGCCACCTCTACTACTACTTACTGAGCATATTTGTTAAACAGTGATTGTGTTGGTGATGTGTTGAGAATTTTTTGAAACAGCCTCTTGCCAGCAGTTCTACAAATTTGGCGGGTACCATGGTGTAGAATAGATATTGAAACGCTACTTTTATGTCTGATTAGGTTTACTAATATTTAGCGATTGAATTGTTAATGATATCATTGTGTGTTTTAGTATTACATTATTGTCTAGATGAGTAGTGGACTTTCCATTATTATTATCATCATCATGAACACAAAAAATAATGAAATCATTTCATGAATAAACTACAAAAACTCTCTTGTTTAGTAATAGGAACCTTTCATATAATTTTTAGCCTTGCGTTTAAAGTCTTCAAATTGATCGGTATAGTGCTTGGCAGCATCAAGATCAAGAGGATCATCGGGATTTGGTTCGAGGAACAGGAAGTGAAGACCAGTGAAAATGGCGTTCAAATTCAAAACAGGTTTCCAATCGGCTCTCAAAATGTTCAAACAGACGGCACCGTTTTGGTCAATATTTGGATGCCAGACTTTTGTTTTACAGATAACCTTTGGTGGTTTGATTGGATATTCGTTTGGAATGTTAATTTCGAATTCGTGTGGGTGACCCTTCCAAATTCCATCATCAGGAATGAGTGTGAGAGTCATCTTGTTGAGTTTGTTGGCGTCTTCAATTTTGAGATTATCAGACCACTTCTTTTCCAATTCGTCGAGATCTTTCTGGACACGGATTTGATAACCAGTGCTTCTGCCACCACCCTGAGAGATGATACCAGTAACACCAGCAGTGGCCTTTTGGTCTCCGCCAGTAGCGTTTTGTTCCTTCTCCTTTTGCAATTTTGCCTTTGAGAACATTTTTTCGTCGTCAAGAGAGTGAAATTTGATGGGAAATTGATGACGAGTTTTTGAGTTATTTTTTTGAGATGGAGTGACTATGAGTTCATAGCAGACTATTTTTATCGTTTACAAATTCAACCTGACGCTGAACCATGATAACGAATGAAACCAGTTCACACAAGTCGCAACGTGTTTATTGTTCTCTGAATAAATTAATTGAGAGGATGTTGAAAATTGTGCCTACTAATTAAAATAAGCTTCCTGAAGTCAAAAAACCAGAGTTCTCAAATTCATCCCACTCTGCAAAGACAGTTGAAAACTCCTTTGGGTTGCCAGCAAGCGCTGCAAAAGAAGGGCTACTACATGGAACGGCAGCTGGATCAAACATATTTCCAAGTGCTTGGTTGCTTGTTCGAAGATGATTGCTTGGTGTTGTCGAAGAGCAAGATGACATGACCATCATATGATTCAAAATGTCTGCATCAGGATTCGTTTGAATATTGAACAATTTTTCTTCGAGTTCAATATCACGTCTCACAAAATCGTCAACTTCCTCTTGACAAGGATCAAAGTTTTCAGCCTCAGCACCACCACCATTCACAATTAAGGGTTGAGCTATTTCAAGCTTACATTCGAATGGAACAATGGCAGTTCCTTCACACAAAAGAATCTCTTGCTGGTCAAAGTGGTACACAGACTCATCCATCAAATCATCGTGGCCAGCATCTTCGAATGAATCTCGATCAAAGCTATCTTCTCTCTTGACAGCACGGAGAAGTTGGTGAGGAGTCAAATGTTGTTGTGTGGGCGACAACGCTTGGAAGTTTAACATTGGGAATGGATCTTCATTGCACAACAAGTCTCCTTCACTGGACAAGAATGCACTCCATGTACCTGTACACTCAGGTTGTTTGGTATTGTTACCATTGCTACTGGCATTGGAGGTGCTTCTCTTTTTTCGGGCCTGTGTCTTCCTGGTTGATTGAGGTTGTGAGGGAGCAACCGTAGAAGATGCCTCAGTAAGAGTCTCTTTCAGCTTTTGAGGAATGGTCACATTAGAATTGCAAGTAATGTTCGTTCGAGAGACTGGTCTACCCTTTCCCTCTTGCTCGTACTTGCGCAGCATGATCCATCGATGGCGACACTGAATATCGGTCCTTCCAATGAACGAATCGGCAATACTCTTCCAAGCGCTTTCTCCAAATTCACGAACCTTGTCAATGAGCATCAAATCTTCTTCTTCACTCCATGGTTTTTTACAAATCTTGGGATTGAGCACTCGCCACCAGTGTTGATTACATTGATCACTGTTCTTGGTACCCACCATTTTAGCAATTTCATTCCACTTCTTTTCACCATACTTTTCGATGGCCTTGATGAGCATTTCATTCTCGGTTTTGGTCCATCGATTGCAACTCTTTCGTTTTCCAGAGGATTGCGCAGTGCTTCCTGATGAAGAGCTGCTGTCATCTGAGGGTGATGAAGGTTCGCTTTTTGCTCTAGTTCCTGATTTGGTCGACGATTTTCGTTTGGTTTTTGATTGCTTGGTGATGGAGCTTAGATTGAGTTTAGGGAGTGAGGATGACTCTTGGTCGTTGGAAACGTTGTGGATTGGTGCTTGAAAGGATTTGAGAGAAAAGTCGTCCCTTGAGATCGGAAGCGTTCTATTTGTTGTAATGTTAGCGGTAATGGTGGTTGTGATAGAGGATGGTGATGATGAGAGAATAGCGGTGGTGCCTTTGCTGTGTTGCAAGTGTCGTTGCAAAAACGAAGTGTGGTTGAGGGAGTTATAGAGAACAGAAGCATTGTGCATGGCAGCGTTAATGGCTGAGAGCGGTGATGTGTTGCCCGTCGATGACGATGATGATGATGAAGATGGTGAGCCTTCTAGTGTATTAAGGCTTCCAAGGGTTGTTGATTTTACCATTCTTGTACAATTTGGTGTTCGTAAAATGCCGAATATAATAAGGCTAGTGGTGGATGGGGTGGCGTTTTTGAATTAGCGTGGTATATAAATATTGCTTCAAGGCAGCCTTGAATAATGTTAATTGAGAAATAGAGAATGAAGGTAAGGAAGGGAATAAGTGTGTACACTTGCGTTAGAGGGTTCCGTTGTCGAGCGAGAGTGAGTTCCGTCGTGATGAATGGCACCAGCAGTTCGAGATGTCTCGCTAGTAATGGCAGTTGTTGTTCGTTTTTTTGTGTTGTTGAGTTTCCAAGGCGGGCACAGATGGTTGCTGAGAAAGAGTTTTGGGACCATCTCTCGTTAGCGGCCGTTTTCGGTTAATAAAACTGCAGTTAGTGGCGGGAAATGTTTTCAAATTTTGGCGGTATAATTTTGATGCCAAACCCTCTTCATTCGAATGATCTGAGAACATGTTGTTGATCATGATGGCAAGATACTCCCATCTCTCCCCCCAATTACAACGTCTTTCGTAACACTTTAAAGAATGTAATACTCGGTTGCGGGAAGGGAATTGTTGTGTAAGAGAGATCGTAAGAGATAATTGAGGATGATACTGCTGGAATCATGCTTTCAAACAATTCTGCAACACTGTCATGATTCAAATCGCCGTACGGCCAGGAAATTTGGCAAAAAGATCAAGGCGTAATGACCTTAAACCTCCATGCAGGTTCTGAGTTGGAAGAGGTACCATACAAATGCAAGAGTCCAACAGGCAGACAATCCATAGATCAAAAAAAAGCTAATTGAGAAATGCCAAATCTCTTTGCAAACATGAGAAAGGAAAATGTCGGGAGAAATGTCATTCTCGCACCGAATTTCCCCTTATGATCTTGACTCATCCGCATGCGAAACCAATTAAAAAATCCATCATTAAAACCCCAATGCCAGTAGAAGAACATTCTTGGTGTAGTGAGCAAGTGATTGCAGCACTTTCGAGAGAGCCAGTAGGTACTGAACTCGCTCAACAAGTGGCTCAAGCCCTCAAGAGTGGTCGTTACATCATGAACGGACACAGGGATTATTGTGGGGTTGGTCTTGTTTACACAACACCACAAAAAGTCTTTGAATTTTGCTACGTGAATGATGGTTTTAACACAGATTCCATCATTTCCTTCTCTGATGAGAATGAGTTTATCAAATTCTTGTCCGAGCAAAGTGATTATTCCATGAGCGGAGCAGATGAATCGAGTGCTGTATTTTACGAAAAGAATACCTTTGGAAGGAATAATCAACGCATTACTGTGGCTAGACTGGAACATTTGGTGGCTACCAGTCGTTTATAAAGGTAGATTCAGACATTTCCAAATAACTGCACACAGTAATTCAGTAATTATGAAAAATTAGGCAATCATGATGATATCATTGTGTGCGCTCCGATCAAAAAACGAAATCTGGTGATCCAGACGCGATGATTGATGAAAATTGTTGATGAAAAATTTTTATTTACCAAATTAAAAAAATTTCATGTTCAAATTATCATTGCCCCTTTCCAAAGTGAACAACACCAACAGCGAGGAAGGAGTGGCGGTTGATCGTGGTACTTCTTCTTCTGATACAACAACAACAACCACAAATCATGAAAATTCCAACTCCACGTCCGTTCCAAGCAGCACAACAAGTAATGGCATTACTATTCCGCCCGTATCATTATCCAATTTGAAAACCGTCATCTCTTCCTCGTCAGACAACAACAATGACACGTCCTATGATGATGATGATGAGGAAGATATCAAGGACTATGAAATCTTCTCAAATGGAAAATCAGCAAGAGGTACAACAACAAACAGTAGCAGTGCCTCCTTCTTTTCTTCCATTTCATTTGATACTGACCCAATTCCAATTGAAGCTATGAGCAAGTTGATTGGATCATCCCCATCAACAGGCCAAGACGCAACTCTCTACACGAGCAATATCAAATTATTCGAATGTTTTGATGCTACCTCATCATCCCACAAGAACTCTTCGGACAAGGTCTGGAAACGAGAGTTTAAAACAAGACCTCTCCATAGTCTGGTCTCGAGCACAATATCATCATCCTCTCGCTCCTCACAATTCAATACAACTTCGTGCTATATTGTTCTCCACCTCTATCATCATTCTCACTTGAACTCGACAACATCACCACAACAATCCAACAAACATGCCTTCCCATTCGCCACTATTGACGAATCATCGACTCGAGATGAAACTAACTTTAGACTACTCGAACAACTCTTCACAATTGGCTCTCTAGATGGATCTAATGGCATGACAGATTGTGCCTTCACACCGCGTGGTTTAGAGTATCCATTTGCTAGTACCCGATTAGACTCCTCACAACACAACAAGTACCTCTTCGATCTCTATGTATGGTACGGAAAGGAGTCAAGTGAATTTGTCAAGAGCAGAACCATTGAGAGAGCACTCCACTTGGAATCATTGTTGCAACAACCTCATGCTGTTAGAGCAGTTATTCCACTCTGGAAAACCACAATCATTTGACGATTTGGTACTCAAAACAGACGTTCGAAACAGTGTCGCAACCTCTCAGTCACCAGAAACCTCAACTACTGCTTCATCATCTGCCACATTGTCAAGTCTTTCATCGAGTGCTTTGCGTCATCATCTTTTAGCTCGGATTAAAGCCATGATGAGAGGCACAACACAAAAATCATCGAGACATCTTTTTGAAGAGTTGTCACTTCTTTCTCCTGACGAAACATTTAATAGCTCAGACGTTGATAAGCTGGGAAATCTTCTCCAACTC